AACCCAGCTAGTTAACCATTCGGGTATTATTCAGGCAGCTCATGTTGCTGTGGTATTTAAGGACTCAAGCAGTATTAGTCTCATATTTAATCATGAGTTTATTGTACAGTGTTTGGATGAGCATCTCCTGAGGACTTACAAGTTGAAGGATCAGTCTCCAAACAATGCCACTGTTAAGAAGTGGTGAAAACTTGAAGAGATGGTGGTATGTTGGAGATTTAAGATCACTGGGTTCGTGTGCTAATAGTGGACTGTGGAGTTTTGACATTTTCTCCCCTCTCTTTGATGTCACAGCCATTCCCACCATGATGTGTTGTTCTGCCACCAGCACAAAAGCAACAGGACCATGGATCATTGACTGAACTCCGCAAAACTGTGCCAAAGTAAATGCTTCTCTCTTTACATGCTTCCCTTAGGTGCTTTGTAACAGCCATGCAAAGCTGAATGACACAGAGGTCCATGTCAAGATGGCCACATTAGAACAAACATCTGTTTTATGTTATTTGTGCTTTAACTTAAAAGTTGTGATATTTCTTCGTTTTTAAGTATTTAATATATTCATAAACCCAGTGAAGCCCTGATGAAGTTTTAAACCTCTTGAGTCATCTGTAATTCATTAATAGATGACTTTCTCAATTTCTAAACCTGCCTAAAAAAAAAATGTGTTACATCTTTTAAGCATCTTAGTACACGTTTATTTGAAAATAAACATCTGTGGGTGAGAAGAAGAATAAAATGGCAGACTACTGTCTGATCACCATTTTAAACACCAAGCATATGCAGTTTGCAGACTAGAGCAAATCTATCCTCACATTAGTCAGATTTGAGCAAGGTCGTTTTATGGAAAGCTTGAACAAGAATGCCTCAGAGTGATAGTCGCCCAACTACTAGTTTCGCTGTTTGTTGAGGGTGTTCTCAGCTTTTCCACTCATAGATAGGTCACACATACTCCCTGCTGTGTTCTGCTGTCAGCTACAGGATCCGACACCCTCTGTCTGTCTGTCCCTGGGAACAGCCAAAGGCTGTGTTTAGAGTATTTGAATTACCCCTCCAAATAGTTGCCATCCCTCTAATTTGTCCTACTTTTATTTTAATTTTCTATTATCAAATTAAATTCTACTTGGAATCCCCCACACTTGCATACATTTTCCCCCTGTTAGTCAATTAATTCTTTTGGGCTTTCAATGAATGTTGGTTCTCATTACCAAAGCCTTGTGTTTTAACCAAGGAATGTATTACTGTGAAAATTTCAAACTCTGGCAATTGTGGGATTCTACATTGCACTCCTCCAAACCTCTCCTGAAAAAGAAATCTCTAAGCTTTCTTTCTATATACTCTACCACTACTTGTCCTAATAAAAAGGCTTCATGAGTTTCAGCCATCTTGAAAGAACATTACAACCAGTCAAGCTCATGGGATGTAGCTTCCATTGTTTTTTTCTGTTTGTATAAATCCAACCCAGAAGAGCCCATGCTACAGTGATATGTGGTCTCATAAAATGATCCACTCCTAATGTCCAAAAAGTCAGGGTCTTCAAGTCCCTGACTTGAAGCTCTTCAGATCTTTCAAGTCTCCTCAGTATCTGATACCATAGGAACTTATCAATCTCAATTCCTGGACTCATCCAGCTAGTGCTCTCTTATTCTCTCTCTCTCTCTCTATCTCTCTCTCTCTCTTTCCCCCTTCCTACAACTTGTGGATCAGATGTAATCTGTTAGCTACTTCTCCAGCACCCTGCCTGCCTGCCTGCTGCCATGATGGTAATTGACTAACACTCTGAAAGTATAAACAAGCTTCCAATTAAATGCTTTCATCTTTAAGTTGCCTTGCTCATGAGTTCTCCCACATTAACAGAACAATAACTAAGACATATGGGCATTCTATAACTAAATAAGGTTTATTTATAATTAGGCGTACCCAAGCTGAAATATATCTGAAAAGAGTCCATGGAAACAACTTAAATGCTTAAATATGAGAATGTTGGTTCTAAAATGAGGAAAGAACTACAAATCCATACAGATATTTCACACCTGACATTTCATGAAGGTGGTAAAACTATGGCCTAAAACAAGAACACATGGATCCCAACTCTGTAGTGGGAAATGCTGAGTCTATGTATTTATAATCACAGTACACACACAATAGAATTCTAGCTGCCAGTCTGTGCTTGTTGGCTAGAAACGATTTTAAAGCCTGTTTGTAAGATCATCTTTTGAAAGGAAGTAGCTTTGAAGTCAGATTTATACATCCAAATTTTCTCAAAAAAAAAAAAAAGATACCAAGTAAAATAATATCCCTTCAGTTTAAAGGTCATTTCTCTGAACTACCTCACCTCCTAACCACACAGAGCGTAAGGCAGGTGTCTCTGTTTTCTGATGTCTTTTTTTTTTTTTCTCCAGGATGCTTTCTGACAGTAACAGTCGGGGCCTGAAGGTGGTTGCTGATCAGAATGTTTCTTCCTCACCATAGTCCACCAGAGCAGAGATGTTCTAACTTAGTTTACTCCTTGCTTCCTACTTCTGTTACTGGCCCAGCCCTTCCAGTATTGTCCAATGGAAGAATGCTGCTCAGAGCTGGTGGAGAATGGCAAAGTACATGATGCACTACATCAAGACTTAGAAGCACATGTGTAAGTGTGTCCATGTCTAGGGCATGGTGGTTAGCTCACAGGAGATATTGCACAAATGTTGGCTTGAAGAAAGTTCTGGCCAGAAATCTAGATTGGAAATGATTGTTAATGTCACACAGAAACACAGACAACACTTCTATGTCATTCACTAGCTCTCCAACTGAAAGTAGCTGGGTCTGTCAAGAGTGTTTGCATCTTTTCCACTCCAGCACCCCAGGAGGCTAGTGAAGCCTGGAGCCCTACATCTCACTACTTCTAATGCCCCAATAGGACTCTCCTTATAAATTTGGAAATTTAAACTCATCGAATTGCTACTCCCAATTCTAAACATGTCTTCTAAATCTCAACCTCTCTCTCCACAGCAACCGGAATAAGCAATTGCCTCTGCATGTTGGCAAAATTAGCTGCATGAAACAGCAAACTCAACTTCCAAGTTAAGTTTCCATTTCACCAAGTTTGCCTGCGAACTTGACAGGAACTGTAGTAACAGGAGGGAATTAAAAGTAACAGCTAAATGAAACTTAAGAGTTATGACTTAGCCATTAATTTTGAGTCTATCATGTTTTATGCCAGTCTACACTAGGTGTTCAGTGAGGAAGTGTTGAAAATATATATATGTGTGTGTATATATATTATATATATTATATATATATGGCATATATATGGTATATATATATATATATATATATATATATATATATATATATATATATACACGTATGTAGGTATGGCTTTTGGTATTGACTGCCTCTTCTGTAAAGATCCTGCTTCTGAGCAATGTTTCAAAATACTACAACTGTAGGGAAAAAAAAAGTATGCTTTCTCAATGAAAACAATGTTTTATCCCCTGGAGAGGAGACAGAAGAAGAAAAAGGACAGACAAGTGGAAAGACAGAAAGAGAGAGGCAGGGAGGTGGGGTGGGAGGAGAATACTCCAAGGAGCTAGACAGGAAGCGCTGTTTGCTGCAAAAATGCAAAGGCTGGTAGGCACAGCTCAGCTGGCAAGCTTGCTGGGGTCAACCCAACACTATGTGAACCTGGCTTGGAGAAATTTTATAATCTGGGGAAGTGGAGACAGAAGGACCAGAAGCTCAGAGTCACCCTCAGACACATAGTCAGTTCCAGGTCAGCCCGTAAAACTCCCTCAAAACTACACACGCAGATGCCCTTCCGTTCTTCAGGGTGTAACCCTTCTCTCGCTCTCCATTTTCTTGGAGGGAAAAAACTGTGGAAGTTTGGAGAGAGGCAAAAAGCCTATACTCTTAACATCTTCACTTCGGAAGAGAGTAGTGAGTAAAGCGGCTGGAAAGGTCAGCTGTTGCTAGCAGGAGCACTGCTTTAAGTGGCTGTCAGAAAACTAAAGAGAAAAGGCAGGGAGGGATAGGAAAAGGGGGAGGCCGGCGATCAATGAAAGAAAACCAGCCAGAGCCTCCGTGCCATCTGTTGATTCTCCTGCTTTCCTCTCGCTCGCTCCAGGAGCCTTCAAAGTTTCAGGATGGCCCAGGCAGACCCACGGAAAGGAAAGCCGGTCTTTCACCTGCCCCTGGCATCGCCGTGGGGTCCCCTGGGAGCCGCCTTGCAGAGAAAGCCGCCCTTCCCGGTCCGTCCTTTTCCCCGCAGAAGGGAGGGCGGAGAGCCAGCGCCTCCCCGGCCTGGACCCGCCCTCAGCCAGCAAGCATGGATCTCCGGCTGCGACTGCCTGCCGAGTAGAGGAAGAAGGCACAGATGGCTAAGAAGTAAGTCAGCCACCCAAGCGCACGCGGGAGCAGCTGCAGCACCCGTGTGGGACGTGAGTGCTTGGCCATCACCGGCCGGAACCCTGTGAGTTGTCCCCAGGCGCTGCGGGGCAGAGAAGGAATTGCGAAAGAGTCGGGAGGCCGGCTGGAGAGCAGGATCCTTTCTCACTTCGGGCCTGGAGAGGAGTTAGGGAGATTGACAAGCGCACCGCAGAAGATGGGCAGATAGCCTTGGAGACGTGGGGAAAGCGGCCAGAGGGAAGCGGGTCCCCTTGACTCAACCTGTCATCCTTCCAGAAGCAGGGAGTTGCTCCAGGCAACTTGGCAAGGCTTCCCAAGTGCCTGGGAAGCTGGGGCCGATGTCAGTCCCACCACCGCTGGTGCCTGCCCGCCCATGGGCAAGGTCCTGCTGCCCCAAGATGTGGAGAATAGTGTGAGCACCAAAAGGCTCTGTCCTGTGTGGCCATCAGTCCTTCTCTTGTTTGATTGTTGTTGTTGCTATTCTTTTTTTTTTTTTTTCCTTCTTGAGAACTTCTGGGTGAAGATACTAACTTTTTTTTGTGGAAGCTGCTAGGAGGGGAAAAAAAAGTGTAACATGATGGAGAGGATCTCTGCTCTTTTCTAGTGTTTCCAGCTTCCCCTTGTTAAGCCATCCCCTCCGGAGGACTGAAGCTGTGGGACTTGGTGACACTCGCGAGTGGAGCAAGATTCCCTTGCAGCCGTCAGCCAGATCGACCCCTCTGCATGTATGAGTGTGCCAGCAGCAGCAAAGGGGGCAGGGTTCTGCTTGTGGAGTCTCTGCTGGGACCAGAGTGAATGGCCCCCAGGGACGGCGCGGAGCCTCTGCCTCCGCCACCTCCACAGACCTGGGTCTGGCCTGGAAAGATGGTAGCGATGGGTGCCCTGGCGGGTTTCTGGGCTCTCAGCCTGCTCACCTATGGCTACCTGTGCTGGGGCCAGGGCGTAGAAGAGGAGGGGCCCCTGAAAGCGGAAGCTCAAGAGAGACCTGAACCAGGTGTAAGGGCCGCCTCCCAGCCCCATCTCATTTTCATCTTAGCTGATGATCAGGGATTTAGAGATGTTGGTTACCACGGATCTGAGATCAAGACGCCCACTCTTGACAAACTCGCTGCAGAAGGAGTCAAACTGGAAAACTACTATGTCCAGCCTATTTGCACACCATCGAGGAGCCAGTTTATTACCGGAAAGTAAGTGTGACCGCTTCTATGTATTACTTGGAAAAATCGTAAGCCTTTATTTAAAACAGGTTTCTAATTTAAGAGAGGAACGGGAAAGTATGGGGGAAACAACCCATTGAATGAATGAATGAATGAATGAATGAATGAATGAATGAATGAATGAATGAACAGTCTCTCATTGTTAGTGTCAATACCCAGGCCCTCCTCTTCTCCTTCTCCTTTTGCTGACAGGCAGCTGTGAGCTTTTGAATGGTCTCAGGGTTTTTACACTCATCCACCAATCAGAGATCGCCATGGTTGCTGTTTCCAAATCTGTGTAGATTGTCAAGCACATTCACATTTTGTTTCGGGTATCAGAAGAGAATTCACAGAGCAAAGGTGTCATTTACAACGTTCAGCTTGTTACAAAATCTAGAACTGCACACATAATCAGAACTCCAGGCCATAAAGGGGAGAGAGAGAACAGAGGCCATAACAGCAAGGAAAAAATAAGTGGAATAGGACTGTGTCTGCACCATTGCTGGGTGCCTTTCTCTCGTGGCATCCTATCTGACTGCCAAGGCAGTTCTCAAAACTGCGCTGGAGTTCAGTGGGATTTGCTGCCACTGCTCTGGTGTGGGAAAGTGTTCTGTGTCGCTAATACAGCTCAGAGGACTGAGAAATGTTTTCAGTATCGTCAGCAGTTTGCTCAATAGCTCGTCTTAAGGTGCTCACACATTATTTTGTTTTTACTTTGTTAGAATATACATGATCGTAACTCGTATTCACAGTGCAAATTCAGTTTGGACGGTAAAGCAAAAGGGTTGAGGAGTCAAGCTACTCCTGAACAGTGGAGGGCTTCCATCGATGCGCCTTGTGATTTTGGTTTCACGACAGGGAACCTTTGCTTCGAGTGAAGTTGTTCTTGGAATTGGACCCTGGAAGGGTAGCCAGTAACCAGTCTGGAAAAATTAAGACTACAGTGTTTTATAGGAATCTCTGTCTTTCAAAGACTTTTGCTTACAGCATAATTTCCACTGCTTAGCAAACTGCCAAAATTTACCATCACCACCAGAAAATAATTTTTTCAGCCTTTGGAAGAAATGGTAGAAAGCAGGGCATGGTAAACACCTTTAATCCCAGCATTCAGGGAGCAGAGACAAGCCGATCTCTGTAAGTTTGATGTCAATATGATCTACATAGTGAGATACTAGGCAGCCAGAGCTACAAAGTGAAAGCCTATCTCAAAAGTTTAAAAAAAAAAATAAAGAAGAAGAGGAGGAAGAGGCAAGGGAGGAGGAACAGGTCTTAGTGGCCTTCTGAGTCGTCTTCAAGGTTAATCATTGCATCATAAAGTCAAGACTATTTAATATTAATAAGCCCATCTGGTGACCTAGGATTAAATTCTTCATCTCTGTTCCCAACCATCCTTATCCTTGGCTCTTGAAATGAACATGTCATAAAGACACAGCTGATTTAGAGAATTCAGATTTGCACAGAGAGCCAACAGTAGTCAAAAAATATGAAACTGAATGTGTGAACTTACTTTCCATAATAAAGCATGTTCAAGGCTTTTTACTGTAGGAGGACATTTGGAAACACGTTACACTGATATTCCACCTTCATCTTTTATCTTGAGGTCTGCTTGATAAGGTTTTTTTTTTCTCTTTAATCAAAGGCTGAGTCAGCATTGTCATGGCAACCAAACATCAAATGACAAGATGCTGCTTCCTACTAAAATTTTTTGTTCAGTGCAATAAGTTGCATAATTGTTTTATAGACCAAAATTTCAAATAGCTACTGTGATTTGATACAGGTTTCTACTTGAGTTAAGCAGTGGGGGATGTCTTATTTGAAGTTTTCCCTGGGACATTTTTATAAATGAATACAGATGTAAGAAAGAACGTGGTCATGAATGTCTAGTTCTGGACTTAATATGAATACTTCAGGACCAGTGAATATGGTATTTATCCTGTCTGTGAGAACACGTCTGTGCCTTCTGTATCCTCTAAAGAGAGAAAAGGGAAACAATAAAAGTCCCAGTGGGATGGATTATTTCAAGAGGAAAATAGGTTATGTGAAATGTGAGAAGAGTCAAATATCTTTACATGACTTGAGGAGAGCCTAATGACTGGAGCTGGATTACCTTCTGATACCAAGAACACAACAATACTTCTTTCTATATTTTTCTGCAATCAAAATGTGAAACTTTCTTTTTATGCTACACAGATCTGTAAAACATTCCTTTTACAATTTGGATTATACCACTCTGGCAACACTGAATATCAGTCATACTCTCAGGAAGTACTCATTGCATGCAGACTGTATTCAGCTTCAGCAGCTATGGGGATCTTTCCAGAAATCACTAGTAATTTTATGAGCACATTAAGTTTTTCTGATGATAACGCTGTTTATGGTGAATTAAAAGCATCTGTATTAAAGGCAAAGTACCTACAGAGCTGCCACTGTTAAACACATTATCTCATTTGATTCTCACAGCAGTTCTGTAATATAGCTGCTACTGTTTGTTCCTGTCTCATATAGATTTGGTAAGAGTCCAAGAGAAGTAATGTTGCAGTGTTCTCAATGGATGTTCGTAGTTAGTCTGACGACATACAGGCTAATTGAGAAAGTGGCTGCCTGTATTCAATCAATTTCAAGGTAACTTTTCTATTCTCAAGGAAGTCTTCCAAATGGTGGTACAAAGAAATAAAGCATTTATTCTGTAAGAAGAACATAACGAAGGCTTCTGAAAGAATTATAGGCTTTTCAAACAGTAGTCATGTGGGTTTGAGATTTAAGGAAAGATTGGCAATCTGAATTGAATTTATCTCACAATGAGTCTGAGGTTTTATTCATGACCTTTTCTATATTGTTGCCTATTGATGCAACTTGTTAAATTTCAGGACGGGATAGTGTTCCCTTGTGTGAAAATGCTGCACTTTGTCCGTTCTGTTGTCAAGGATGGTGGTGGTTTCCAGTTTGATATCATTAGAAATATGCTGCCATAAACATACTTCTTCATGCTTTGATGCTTCAGTCTTTGCATTTCTCTTGTGTTCATCAAGTAGAATCGCTGAGGTACAGGCATTTGTGGGTTCAGCTTCTGTAGCTACTGTCCAGCAGTTCCCAAAGCAATGCTTCTGGGGTTGAACTACCATTACAAATGTGTAGAACACTCGGTATTGTTGCTTTTCATTTTAGACATGGTCATTGTACATTGGTGTGTTGTCCTGATTAAAATTTGCATTTTCATAATAACTACTAATGTCAAATGTCTTTTAGTAAGTATTTATGGAAATCATTGCCTTGCTTTTAGTTTAGGTGACTATTTGTCCCCTGATAGAGTGTGATAATTATTTATATAATCTCTTTCTGTGTCAGCTGTTTGTATTGCACAAATCTTTCACTCTGTAGCTTTCTTTCTCACTCATGTATTTATAGTAATGTGCTTTTTAATGACTAGGTTTTAATTTTTTGCAATTCAGTTTATGTTCTTTTCCTTCCTGTGCTTATTGAAGACAGCCTTACCTAAACCATATCATCACAGTGGGTTTTTCCTCCTAACTATTCTAGCTCTGTTCTAGGTCTCTGGAATTAATTTTTAATGTAGTATTAAATTTGAGTTCCAAAGTATTCATTTTCCTGTGTCTGTCATTTTGGCCTGACACCCTAAATTCAATCCCCAGAACCCACAAGGTGGCTCCCAGGAATTGTCCTCTGTTCTCCACAAGCAAGTCATGACCTAGACATGCATGCTGTGCCACACAAGTCCCTGAACACATGCACACAGGGGTGGGGGGGGAGAGAGGGACTTTTAAGACCACACTTTCTCCATAGCATAACAGAATCATCTTCACTGCTACACGTGCTCCATTTCTGGACACGTCTGCCCTAAGGATTATGCTTTTCTCCAATGGTTCCTTCTGCTAAACACAGTTGTATGATAAATGTTTGTGTTTAGAATGTAAGTCCTCCTGATTGTTCCTCAAAATAACCTCCGCTGAGATTTACCACTTCGGTCACTATAATAAGAAGGAAGACAGTTGTAAGGTACTAATAAAATAAAAGGTTTGATTTGGTAAATATGAAGGAGTTCACTTTGGGATCTTTCTGTTCTCTGAATAACAAGAAGAGTGAGATCAGCCACTGAGAATCAAGATCTAAGTGTTTGAAAGAGTTGGATACAAGCTGTTTTCTGGAGGAGTGGAAAAGTGAGCTGAGCAGGGAAATGCAGACAGAAAGAAGGCTGGCAGCCCTGAAACCCACCTGAGATTTGTGGACTTATTTTTGACAGGGCCAGGACAGCTGTCTTTACCCTGCCACATTCGGGTGCCTCGTGAAGAAGCACCTTGGTTGGAGAGTTGGATTTAAGCATATCTAGGGATTTCCAAAATGAACACGGTGGAAAGAACAAGAAGTGCAGGGAGTTTATGTCCTCATTGTCCATGGATTTAGTTTCTGGATGGGCACTGAGGAGATTGCTAAGTGAAAGGATACAAATGAACAGCTGAGAAAGCTCATGATGGGAAAAAAATTCCAAGTAGTGCCATGTTTATAAGTGATAGAGAAGTGAGGGTGGAGGTGAGAGAGAGGGTAAGATCTTTGGGAGTGAAGAAGTTAAGATAGACTGCTGGACACCTCATTGCCTTGGATACCTAAATCATTGACACTTATAAGAACAACCATGTTGAAGAGGATGGTGTCTCAGTGCTAGGGCAGGGATGGTCTATGTCTAAGGGGTAAGGGGTAGGGCCTGGAATTAGCTAAAAGACTGAGAGTCTGGTCTGACCCACTGCTTTAAAAAAAATGAGCTTCTGAAGGGAGACAAGAGCAAAGATGGAAGGAAGTGTAATGAGGGACTAAGAAGATGCTTTTACCTAGTCCAGGCTCAGATTCAGCGAGAGATGAAGGGGAGTAAAGTACCAGCTCAGGGTGAAGAGTAAAGTCGGGACAAACAGTAATGCAATATAGTGAAAAGAGGGAATATCCAGGGCCATGCTATGGTCAGGAGGATTTCTTCAGAGCAA